TTTTGTGTTCGATTTTCGATCTTATTTTATTTAGTAATCTTAAGTAATTTTTGTCGCAGAATGTAATGTTCATATTTCTTTTCCTTCATTCTAAATTGTCTTCAAACAAATAAGAGGAAAAACAGTAATATCTCATCGAATAGTTATGATATGAAATTATATATCTACTTTAAATGACATCTAATAACGGTAGTTTTTATTATTCATATTCAAGATATGATATATTTGCACTTGGTTACGAAATATTTCCAGTTTACTAGTGCCGCATATTTATTTTAACCTTGCTTTTGACTCTCACAGTACGGTAAAACGTTATCAAAAAGAAGAAAATAAGTCGACTACAGTCAATTTCCCTAATAACGACGGGAAAATTTTGTCTTGCCTTATTTCATTTGGTTCTCAGCTATTGTACATCCAATTAAAAATATTTTTATATTTAGAGAATCCTTAGAGTCTCCCCTTTCCAATGATATATAGGTTAACTTTTACTAACTTGTTATTGTTGAGAAATTAGCGGTCTACGATGAAGGGGTCCAATCGTCGTTATTAGGGTTCGATTCCCTAATAACGACGCCCAGCAAAATTATTGACCCTAATAACGACGCTCCAGCAAAATTACAGCGAAAAAATATATTAAAATAAAAAAAGACTTTTTTCACGTTTTCTGTGCGAAATCGAGAACTGGTCTCTTAGACAATTTTGTAGAGCAGATTGAACTCTATTATAATCTAGCGGTTCACGAAAAACTAATCTTGTTTTAGGAAAATGTAAAATGTAATGCAAAAAATATCTAAAATTAGTGATGCACCAATTCTTAGTACATGATTTCAAAGAGGATATTTTTTCCTATTAAAATCACGTAGGTGAAGTTAGCACCATATTCGAGTAAATCCTTCCCACATTCGTTCAGGAAAGTGTTCCAAGTAGAACTCAACGAGCTCTATCTAATGGTAACTTTGGATTTTCCATACCCCAAACCAATCGTGAGAAAAACCCAAAATACTGCTCTTTTTCTATAGGAAAAACCAAACCTACTTACTAAAACCTGCCCATATTCGTCCAGGGACGTGTTCCAAGTACAACTCGACGAGCTCTATCTAATCGTGTCTTTCGATCAATCGTAATCCAAACTATTGGTGAGAAAATCTCAAAATACCTGATTTTCACTATGTATATGGTTACTAAAACCTGCCCATATTCGTCCAGGAGCGTGTTCCAAGTGTTCCAGCCGGGTTCCAAGTACAACTCTACGAGCTCTATCTAATGGTAAGTTTGGATGAATCGTAAACGCTCCTGAGCGAATATGGACAGGTTTTAGTAACTATATACATAGCGAAAATCCGGTATTTTGAGATTTTCTCACCAATGGTTTGGATTGCGATTGATCCAAGGACACAATTAGATAGAGCTCGTAGAGTTGTACTTGGAACCTGGCTGGTACACTTGGAACACGCTCCTGGACGA